ATAAGGAAGCAAAGGCGACCCAGTTGACTACTCAACTATGGGAAAAGGACGACGAGGGAGAAATGGACGAACATAGTAGCCCAAGGACCGGTTCGAAGAGCTAAAATGTTTGAAGGTGGGAAGGTGGTAGATATGGTCGGGCCTCTCTATCACAATTTGTTTAAGATGGATAGGTACTTATTGAATCAGGTTAACGTCAACATGAAACTCTATAGATCCAAACCAAGTTTTTGCCTCCTTTCCGGGGCCGCATCTGCCGATTATAATGTATCATTAGAAGACATTCGACTATGCGTGAGTAAAGTCAAAGTCAACCCAGCAGTCATCTATGCACAAACAGTCATCGGAGTTTATGCTCGTGACGAGGTACCAAGCGAAATAAAAACATTTCCAGCTGGTTATATCGTCAATACAGACAAAAGTGATAGTCCAGGAAGACATTGGTTAGCGTTTTATTGGGCATCTAAGGATAAGAAGGAACTTTTTGATAGTTATGAACACCCACCCGATTTTTTCCCCTTTGAAGCAAATACGTACAACGATAGACGATTGCAGAGTAATACATCGAGAGTGTGTGGACAATATTGTTTGTATTACCTGTTGAATCGTTGTAGAGGTATTCCCATGAAATCCATCGCCAAACCATTCGGAAATAACTTAGAAGAAAATGACAGTTATGTATATGAATACATTACGAAAACTTTTCCGTGTTGGTCTTACAGCAGACATTCTAATCAGACATGTTGCGCTGAATTGTAAGCAGTGCTGCTGTTTTTTCACAACCTGTTGTACCTTTATGCATAGCTCGAACAATACATACAATGCAATCCTTTCTCAGTTTTTATTCAATATACATAAAAAGGAACACAATGAGTTAATGTACAATACGGGATTCTATAATCACCATATGCAAGCGTGTCATAACCATTTGACATAACATAGCGTTTATCATCAAAGGCGGAGAGACCAGACTTGTTGATGGTGTATACATGTAATTTATGACCTTCAGACCTAATCGAGCTCATCTCGCACATTCTATTTCTCTCATCAAGTAAGCACTCTTTATACATCCCGTGACGCAAGTCACGCTTAATGGTCGCTCTCGCAATACCTTTCGNAACCCGATCCGTGGGAACTTTTATCAATCAGAATTGCAAAGAGTGGATAAAGACGAAGACGCACTCTGGTACATCGAAGATAAAATAAAAAAGCGAAAAAGAGGAGGACAAACCGAATGGCTCGTAAAATGTGAAGGTTGGCCATCGAAATATATTCAGTGGATATCAGAGAAAGATAACAAAGGGGTATAAGATGTCGCACTACGTAGTCATTCACAGTGATGGAAACAAGGAATATTTTCCTAAAAACAAACCATTTCACTTTCGTTCGCATTTTCAATCCCCATTGAATCTAGACGGAACCTGGAAAGTGGCTTTAGTAGACATAACGTTAACTACGAGTGGTGTTAAGACGAGACAGAACTTATACGTACACAGTGACATATGTGATGAAAGCTTTGTCGACGGCGAAAAGGAATCTCTTCTCCGTTTGGTAAGAGCATTGAAAGTAGCCAACTGGTCCCAGTCGTTCGATGTTCTATACTACGTACCCGTAAAAAACTCGAAGATTAGGTATATAGAAATATATATAAAGACAGAAAAAAGTGATTTCGCTTCATTCTTAAAAGAGCAGGTGACGATTACGCTTCACTTTAGGCAATATCCTTTTCTATCATGAACGTCTCAAAGATGTACGTTCCAAACGTGGGGAAATGGATGAAATATTATACAGACGTGGCACGAGGAAAGGAAAACGCTTATACAGAAAATAAAAAACGACACGCAAAACAATTTGGCGGAGGATTGACACAGAATTCGAACGGATTCATGATTCCAATCGACAAAAACGATAAAGAGGGAGAGAAATTCTTACCTTCACGAGAAGTAAACGTAAATAATTATTATGGTCTCACCAGCTCAACAAGTCGTAGAACAAGTGAAGTCTGAGATTAAAAGGAAATGAACTCCACAGTCTGCTGGGAAACGTCGACGTGTACACACTCCACGGAAGAAGAAACAGTCAAAACGAAAAGCGAGTAAACGAAAAGCGACGAAAAGAAAAGCGAGCAAGGTGAAAAGAACAGCAACGAAAAAGACAAAAGCAACTCTAATAAGAGTCTGATATCACAATGGCTGCGTTAAACAAAGATTTATTCAGAGAAGCACAACCGTCAGAATTAGCCGTATTCGACCTTCCACCGACACAGACAGCCGTGGAAAATATTTACTATCAGGACGTGTTACCGATATCTCAGATTACGAATGACTCTGTCGTTGAATTCGTCGTTTCCGGACAGAACGGATTGGAATTGCTTGATTTACACAGCAGTCTCATCTATGCAAAGGTAAAAATAACGAAAGGGGATGGAAGCGCCATCGCTTTAGATGAGACGTGGGACCCATCAATTTGTTCTTACCCTCGTTATTTTCACAAGTGGACGTTNGAAAAGGACGACGAGGGAGAAATGGACGAACATAGTAGCCCAAGGACCGGTTCGAACAATGCGCTCTTGACAAGAGCTAAAATGTTCGAAGGTGGGAAGGTGGTAGATATGGTCGGGGCTCTCTATCACAATTTGTTTAAGATGGATAGGTATTGAATCAGGTTAACGTCAACGTGAAACTCTATAGATCCAAACCAAGTTTTTGCCTCCTTTCCGGGGCCGCATCTTCCGATTATAATGTATCATTAGAAGACATTCGACTACGCGTGAGTAAAGTCAAGGTCAACCCAGCAGTCATCTATGCACAAAGCCAGGCTCTCGAGGTGACTAATGCAAAATATCCGTTTACTCAGACAATGGTCAAACAGATGACGATTCCTGTGGGGTCAACAAACTTCACCTATGATAATATCTTCCAAGGTCTAAGACCAAACCTCGTAGTAGTCGGATTTGTGAACGCCACCGGAACCACTGGTGACTATGAACAGAACCCGTGGTTTTTCCAGCCCTACGACGTCACATCAATCGGACTCTATGTGGATGGAATACCAGTCGGAGGAAACCCCTTAAAACTCAAGTATGGCAGTACTGGCAGTCAGACCATCATTCCCGTTCTAAGGAACATGTTACATTCGACGGGGAAATGGCAAAATGATTCCGGCTCCGACATAGGGAGGGACGAAATTGCAAAAGGATACGCACTCTATACCTTTGAATTGGAACCTAGCTTCCAAACCAATCAATACCTTAACTTGCTTAAACAGAGAAACGTGAGGCTAGAGGTGATCTTTGGAATGGCACTAACCTCAGCAGTATCCTGTATCATTTATTGTGAATATCCTCGTTACTTCGAAATCAACGCTGCGAGGGACATTGTGTTATCATGAATACCTCACAGTTACGTTGCGTCATAGACTGTGATCCTGTTATGAGACAAACAGTCATCGGAGTTTATGCTCGTGACGAGGTACCACGCGAAATAAAAATATTTCCAGCTGGTTATATCGTCAATACAGACAAAAGTGATAGTCCAGGAAGACATTGGTTAGCGTTTTATTGTGCATCTAAGGATAAGAAGGAACTTTTTGATAGTTATGAACACCCACCCGATTTGTTCCCCTTTGAAGCAAATACGTACAACGATAGACGATTGCAGAGTAATACATCGAGAGTGTGTGGACAATATTGTTTGTATTACCTGTTGAATCGTTGTAGAGGTATTCCCATGAAATCCATCGCCAAACCATTCGGAAATAACTTAGAAGAAAATGACAGTTATGTATATGAATACATTACGAAAACTTTTCCGTGTTGGTCTTACAACAGACATTCTAATCAGACATGTTGCGCTGAATTGTAAGCAGTGCTGCTGTTTTTTCACAACCTGTTGTACCTTTATGCATAGCTCGAATATTTTTCATGTCTGTATCAAATGTAAATACAAAAACAATACATACAATGCAATCCTTTCTCAGTTTTTATTCAATATACATAAAAAGGAACACAATGAGTTAATGTACAATGCGGGATTCTATAATCACCATATGCAAGCGTGTCATAACCATTTGANTAACTTTCATACCAGGATCCAGGGGAACTCTGAAGTTGGTAGTTTGCTTGGTTAACCTTGGGGTCAGCCTCTGGACAATCTCATCAAACATGTCTGGAGGCATGCGCATGAAGTTCTGAAAGGATCTTGGGTCTTCATTCTTGAGCTCCACCATCAGGCGATCATACAAGCCCTGCTCTGGTCTTCTAGTGATCCAGTCTCTAACCCAGACATTCCTCTGTCTTCTTCTTCTTCTTCTTCTTCTTCTGGCCAACATCTGATGAATTTG